GGTCAGGTGTTGGGTCCCAGTGGCCCTGTGGATCAGGTGTTGGGCCCTAGTGCCCTGTGGGTCAGGTGTTGGGCTGCTAACTGCAAGGCTTAACCCACCAGACTCCCCTTGGGAAAAAGATGAGACTGTCAGCTTCCATGAAGATTTACTGACATGGTAATTCTAGGTAAGACCACAATGTGTAAGAACTGACCTGGAAACAGTGGGTTCTGAGAGTTAATTGTATGGAAATAATTGCATTCATATAGAATAACATATCCTTTCGACTACCTGTGGATTCAGCTGAAGCTTGGTATCCCACTTGGTGGCCCACAAAGCACATGGTACTAGGAGTCACAAAACCAAGGGCTCTGTTACCAAGGTGTATCATTAGTGAAAGGCTATTTAAAATTTACTTTTGTGTAGTTCAAGTTGACTGAACTTGATGTATAAGAATCTAGAAATCTAAAGGTTCTTTCTCAGACAGCAGCCCTCATTTCTAAAACCTCCCATCCTACCTAGTCACATCCAGAAGGCTAAAACCCTAATAGCTACATTTACACTGGACCTTGAAACAACCCAGACCTGGTTGGGTGAACAGCTGTGAGCTACTGACTCAGACTGGCCTGGTCAGACCCGTCTTCCCCACAATTGGGCATTATAATTCAGAGACAGCCAGTATGTCTCTGCCTGCTATTGGGGTGGAAACGTGTAAACTCTGAAGCATTCCATGGAGATGGAGAAGCAAGGCAAGCCAGTCCACAGAAAGAAAAAGGAGACTGTGTTTGCAATTCCTGCTTTCCAGTGTCTTTTGAGGCAACACTACATGGCAGCCCTTGGGGTCCAAAGCAGCAGCACGCATCCCCAGGGAAACAGGGAAAGCACTGGCTCAGTAAGAAGGGTCTGAGGAGCCATGCTTCGATTTAATTAGCAGTCATTTTTTCATTAAACCAAAACCTTTGTTCCCCACTGTTGAGGTGTGTACGATCATGAATAAAACACTGGATGTGAAAATAAAACCTTGTGGAATGTAATCTTATGTATACGGAGTTACACAGTACTGTTCACATTGATAGGCCAAGTCCTAACCCCTGAAAGTGGATGGGACCCCTCTGAAGCCACAGTAGTTTTCCAGGACACAAGGGCACCCCTTAATTACTAATGTAACAAAACTAGTGGTATAAACAAAACCATTAATTAGCCTGAAAAGTTCACGCTCTTAAAAAGCCCTGTCTCCCTCCATCCCACCATCCCCAATTCATTTCTTTGCCTTTTCTGTTTCATGGTCAGAATTTAAAGTCAAGCAAATAGAAAAATTACGGTCAAGGGAAGGCACCCACAGACCAAATTAATGACAACTTGACTATATCTGTATATTAACTATGGAGCCCTGGTGGTGTAGTGGTTACATGTTGGGCTGCGATACACATGAACAGCAGTTTAGAATCACCAGCAGCTGAGAGGGAGACACACTGGGTGCTCTACTTCATACAGCTCCAGGACCAGAACCTCACGGGGCTTGCTAGGAGACAGCTTTGACTCCACAGCAGTGGCAGTGAACTGTATGAACTAAAATTCAGCCAGAATTCGAAGAGACTGTCAATGCCCATGATACTCTGTTCCACAGTCTCTGACGCTTTTCCTTCTGAAGCCCACGTCTAATCATGGGCATTGTTGTTTTCAAACCAAACCTTAACAAAGTTAAACGTAATACCTACTGTTTATCAGTTCTTTGTGTTCAGCAAGGGTTTTTGCAGGATCCAGCCAGTACTGTGTAAGGAAAAAAACAACGAGCATTAAAGAAACAGTTACTTTTGTTGGACCTTACCTCAAAGATGTTTGTGAGTTCTTACACTTGATCTTAGCCAAAAGGCCGAGAAGCGATGTTTGTGAGTTCTTTTGAAGGACATTTAACAAGTTAAAGAAGACTACTGAATGTATTATATAAACTCACAGACTTACTTAAGAACTTTGTGCAGCTAGAACAATAAAATAATACAAAAAAATTATTTCAAGGTGCGGGCAGAAGCAGAGAAGAGAAACAGCACTTGCTGGGTCCTTAGTTGAATCACTGAACTGAGTGAGACGCTAAGATCAGAAAAGTCAAGATGGTTATGCATGACCTTAATACCTTTGACAGGGAAAGGACAACAATGAGGAATGCCCCGCCAAGTCACAACACCCCCCATGCACATCTCTTCCTAAAATGCCTCTTCACCCTCACACCTCCCCACCCACTTCAGGTCTACCCCCGGCAGGATTGCTGCCATATGTTAGAAGAAAGCAATCACATTAAACCAAATCCTCTGTGAGGATTCAGAGGTGGCCGCTCAGTACAGAATCTGAGAGCCCACGATACAGAGCAGGTCTAGTTGGATATGGCCCTGGCCCTGGGGCATCACTGAGTAACTGAATCATCTCTGATTCTTGCTCATACTGTTGCTGTAAAGATGCAATGTGAATTCATGTAAAGTCTTTAGGATAGTTATTTAGCTCACAGTATGGAATACATGCTATAACAACAATTCTTAATTATTGAAGGTCAATTATCTAATAACTACCTATAGTCAATCTAAGGTACTGCTTCAAAAGCAGCCCTGATGGTACAGTGGTTAAGTGCTACTACCTGAAACCTCAGTGGTTCAAACCCATCAGTCACTTTGTAGGGAGAAAGATTCAGACTCATAGCAACTCCACAGGACAGGGAAAGACCACTCCTGTGGGTTTCTGAGACTGTAACTCTTTAAAAGGAGCAGAGAGCTTCATCTTTTCCCCTTGGAGCAGCTGCTGCATTGTGATTAGGAGCCCAAAGCATAACCCACTAGGCCACCAGGGGCTCCCAGTACAGAGGAAGAGTCTGCTGTGCAGACCACAGCCTCAGAAAGCCTAAGGGCAGTTCTACTTGGTTCTATAGGGTTCATTTGCACAATAAAAATTTTTGAAATATATCTTTAAATGAAAAGAATTTCAACAAGCAGTGAGAGAATTGTGGCCCTGGTAAGAGGTCTTTCTTTCTAAATCATTTTATTGGGGACTCAAACATTCTTACCACAATCCATATGTACACCCATTGCGTCGAGCATATTTGTACATTTGTTGCCATCATCATTCTCAAAACATTTGCTTTCCACTGGAGCCCTTGGTATAAGCTCCTCACTTTTTCCCCTCCCACCCTCACCTCCTCCCTCATGAATACTTCATAATTTATAAATTTTTTTTTCATGTTTTACACTGTCCAGACTCCCTTAACCCACTTTTCTGCTGTCTGTCCCTCAGGAAGTTATATGTGAATAATTGTGATCAGTTCCCACTTTCTCCCAAACCTTCCTCTTCCCCTCTTGGTAGCGCTACGTTCATTATTGGTCCTGAGGAATTTATCTGTCCTGGATTCCCTGTGTTCCCAGCACTTATCTGTACCAGTGCACATCCTCTAGTCTAGACAGATTTGTAAGATAGAATGGGGGTCATGGTGGTGGTGGGGGGAGAAGCATTAAAGAATAAGAGGAGGGTTGTTTGTTTCATCATTGATATACTGCACCTTGACTGGCTCATCCCCTCCCTGTGACACTTCTGCAAGGGGATGTCCAGTTGCCTACAGATGGGCTTAGGTCCCCACTCAGCACTCACCCTGATTCACAATGATATGATTTTTTGTTCTTTGATGGCTGATACCTGATCCTATCAGCACCTCAGGATCGCAGAGGCTGGTGTGCTTCTTCCATGTGGGCTTTGTTGCTTCTGAGCTAGATAACCACTTGTTTACTTTCAAGCCTTTAAGAACCTATATGCTATATCTTTTGGTAGCCGGGCACCATCAGCTTTCTTCACCACATTTGCTTATGTACCCATTTGTCTTCAGTGATTGTGGCCAGACGGTGAGTATCATAGAATGCCTGTTTATTCTTTTTTTTCCCTCTTTCTTATTATTTATTTTCTTTCTTTTTTAAAAATCATTTTATTGGGGGTTCATACAACTCTTATCACAATCCATAAATACATCAATTGTGTAAAGCACATTTGTACATTCGTTACCCTCATCATTCTCAAAACATTTTTAAAATCATTTTATTAGAAACACATACAACTCTTGTCACAATCCATACATAGATCAATTGTGTAAAGCACATTTGTACATTCATTGCCCTCATCATTCTCAAAATATCTGCTCTCCACTTAAGCCCCTGGCATCAGCTCATTTCCCCCCTCCCTCCCCACTTCCCCCTCCCTCATGAACCCTTGATAATTTATAAATTATTATTTTGTCATATCTTGCCCTGTCTGACACCTCCCTTCACCCACTTTTCTGTGGTCCGTCCCCCAGGGAGGAGGTTATATGTAGATCCTTGTAATCGGTTCCCTCTTTCCAACCCACCCTCCCTCCAGCCTCCCAGAATCGCAAACTCTCACCATTGGTCCTGAAGGGATCATCCGCCCTGGATTCCCTGTTTCCAGTTCCTATCTGTACCAGGGTACATGATCTGGTCTAGCCAGATTTGTACGGTAGAATTGGGATCATGATAGTGGGGGGGAGGGGCATTTAGGAACTAGAGGAAAGTTGTATGTTTCATCATTGCTACACTGCACCCTGACTGGCTTGTCTCTTCCCAGCGACCCTTCCGTAAGGAGATGTCCAAATGCCTACAGATGGACTTTGGGTCTGCACTCCACACTCCCCCTCATTCATAATATGATTTTTTTGTTCTTTGATGCCTGATACCTGATCCCTTCGGCACCTTGTGATCGCACAGGCTAGTGTGTGCTTCTTCCATGTGGGCTTTGTTGCTTCTGAGCTAGAGGGCCGCTTAGTTACCTTCAAGTCTGTAAGACCCCAGATGCTATCTTTTGATAGCCGGGCATCATCAGCTTTATTCACCACATTTGCTTATTCACGGGCTTTATCTTCAGTGATCCTGTTCAGAAGGTGAGCATCATAGAATGCCAGTTTATGTATTTTTTCTCTCTTATTTTCTTTCCTTTTTAAAATCATTTTATTGGGGGCTCATACAACTCTTATAACAACCCATACATACATCAATTGTGTAAAGCACATTTTTATATTCATTACCCTGATCATTCTAAAACATTTTCTCTACATTTAAGCCCTTGAGATCAGCTCCTTATTTTCCCCCCTCCCTTCCTGCCCCCCACTCCCTCATGAACCCTTGATAATTTATAAATTATTTTGTCATATCTTGTACTGTCCGACGTCTCCCTTCACCCACTCCTCTGTTCTCCATCCCCCAGGGAGGAGGTTATATGTAGATCCGTGTAATCGGTTCCCCCTTTCCACCCCTCCCTCCCTCCACCGTCCTGGAATCGCAACTCTCACCACTAGTCCTAAAGGGATCATCTCTCCTGGATTCCCTGTTTCTAGTTCCTATGCGCACCAGAGTACATCCTACTGTCTAGCCAGATTTGTAAGGTAGAATTGGGATCATGTGAGTTGTGGAAGAGGAAGCATTTAGGAACTAGAGGAAAGCTGTGTGTTTCATCGTTGCTA